TTGCAGACATTCTCACCAAAGCACTTGGACGAGCTTCATTTCAGAATTTAGCATCCAAGTTGGGTATTGTGAATCCACACTCTCCAACTTGAGGGGGAGTATTGGCGTGGGTATATTCTATTAGAAGATAACTACAAAGTTTAGTAGATAAGTCTTATATTATGTTTAGATAAACATACGACGTTTGTGTCGATAAGGCTGAAGGCCGCCTCTGAGCTTGTATAAATACATTGGCATTGACATTCTAATAGGACAAGCACTTTCGATATCTAAATCTACATTTAACATGACAGTGCAAGCTTGATTGTGGTTACTAAAACTTTTTAAAAATCCTCTCCAACAATGATTCGATGCTTTCACTTAAGGGTTTTGACTCTGTTTCTCATACTTTTTCTCTGCTTTTGATTAATCTGGACAATGCTCTTCATGTACTATTAATATCATTTGAATCAGGATTGTTCATTCCTCCATAACTGATGATACATTGTGTTTTGTAAACTCAGGGAGTTAGAGAATTAGCTTAGCCACCCACATTATCTAAGATACTTTACTCAAATCTCAATGAAGAAAAGAACTATAACAAAAAGAAGAAAACGAAGAGAGTAAAAGGAACAAGAGGATACACGAGTCTGTTGCAGAGCTTAAAGAAGATTCGTCGGATGGAGTTAATAAGAGACTAAAAGAGGGTAAAATCATGAACATGGCTACAAAGGTGAACTATCAGTCTTAAAAGTCTCTGTTTTTTTTCCCTTTTCTATACAAAGATTCTTTTTATTTTTTATTTCTTCCAGATTACTATAACAGTGGCAGGGAAAGCAAATTCGCTTGCAACAGAGCTCAAAGCCGCAAAAAAACCCGACATGGTTCCATCCAAGAATGTTGTGGATTGCTTGTATAGGAGACTTTTCTTCCCTTTGCAGAAGCAGGAAATCGATCTTTAGAATTGAATAAGAGATAGGTTGGATAATACAGTAAAACCTCTATAAATTAATACTCGATAAATTAATATACACTAAATATCTCTATAAATTAATATAATTTTATAGTCCCAAATTGAGTTTTTGGTTAAATTAGTATATCTATAAATTAATATATCTCTAAATTAATAAAAAAAATAAAATTTTAGTGTAGTCCCAACATTATTAATTTATAGAGGTTTCACTGTATAATAGTGAGGTGGATGGGTCTTGTAACAACCCGTTCCCCCGGCGCCCGACCGGGATTCAGCAAACGGGTGCTACGGACACGTGTCTACTCAATTAGAAAACCCTACGTGTCCTTACTGGCTCCAGGAGTCGGCGGACGCATCTTTTAATGAAATTCGATCCACCCTTATCCACATACTTCTACATACAGTCCTGCGCATAGGAAGTAAAGATGGAGGGATGAGCAACTGGGATTACTCAGTGAAGTGACTTTAAACCAGCATGTCCGCATGATACTCTACGCTACCTCATACGGAGAACAAGACTGACTAGCCACTACAATCAATATGCGTCAAACAAGCCGTACAACAACATCTCAACATAGAATTCTAGCACCCTAACGTTCATACATTTGCCAGGACTCAGCCATCACTTCACATAGATTCATNTGGGATTACTCAGTGAAGTGACTTTAAACCAGCATGTCCGCATGATACTCTACGCTACCTCATACGGAGAACAAGACTGACTAGCCACTACAATCAATATGCGTCAAACAAGCCGTACAACAACATCTCAACATAGAATTCTAGCACCCTAACGTTCATACATTTGCCAGGACTCAGCCATCACTTCACATAGATTCATTCACACATTCATCCCTTTTACCTAGACTCGTCAATCAACCTAGACCTCTAGGACCTATGGCCGTTTACGGATGTCCCTACTCGTTCCGGCCTATCCTGAAAGGGGTGCCCACTCTGGAGAAACCATTTCCCCCCTCCAGCTTCCTAGTAACCACTTGCGGGGAGCTCGTTGGTCCACGTGCAGCACCTGCTGGCCCACGTGCAACACTGTCTACCCGCGGCTCCCGTCCGTTCACGGTCAGATGGTCACAATTTGCCACGACTCGGCATTGACTCGATCTTAAGGCGCCTATTCCTAACTTTACCCCGCCTTGGCGGTCGCCGTCCGTTCACGGCCTTTCACTTTCCGCCCACGGTAACGTCCTCCGTTGGGCCATCACATCCTAGACTCTAGACGCCCACCCGTTCTCGGTGGCCCAAACAAGACTTCAAACATGTTCATTGACACGACTTCATTCTCATATATGTTCTTATATCCACTTTCTCATTCACATTCTCATTCTCATTCTCGTACTCATACTCATACTCATACTCATACTCATACTCATACTCATACTCATACTCATACTCATACTCATACTCATACTCATACTCATACTCATACTCATACTCATACTCATACTCATACTCATACTCATACTCATACTCATACTCATACTCTTACTCTTTATCATTCTCATTCTCATACTCAATTCATTTTATCTCATTCTCATACACTTAGACTCATACTCAACTCTAGACGCCACCCGTTATCGGTGTCTCACACAATTCACATAGCATTCATATTCTTATACACCAAAGCCAATAGACATCTCATTCATATTCATCTATCCTTCACTTTAGAACTAAGGGAAGATTACTTTACTTTCATCACTCAAACAACGTAACTGTTACCAATTAACATAACTATCATTTTATGTATTCACTACTTTCTAACAACCTAGCTTTCATTCACAATCATCACATGGGACACAAATCAGTCACACAGTCATTCATCACCAATCATTATCCACATCAACACAAGGCAGTTCATTAAGTCCCATTTAAGCAGTGTGAGGGTTCTTATGCATCATGGTTCATTCATCTAACAACTTAACTCCCATTATGATCTATCAACTTAACTTTCAAACAAGGACTAACCAAAGCCTAATTCCCGCATCAACCAGAATAGAGATTATGAGAAACAGATCTGGGTTTCGAATCACCTCACCTTAGCAAGAGATCTGAGATCTAGATCTGGAATCAAGAGGGAAGAGAGATGAGATCTGAGAATCTCCACACACCCAACACCACCACCACCACCACCGGCTCACGGCGAGGAGAGAGAGAGGAAGGCGGCGAGAAGAGAGGGAGAGGAGAGAGAGAGAGGCGGCGCGGAGAAGAGAGAGAGAGGAGAGGGCGGCAGCGAGAGGGGGAGAGATTGACGGCTAAGGTTTCCGGTCTCCGGGACTTCTGTGCAGAGCTTCGCTTCCAGTTTGCTAATAAGACAAAAAGTGGAGGCTAGGGTCCTTTTTATACTAGAGTTGTAGGAACCCTAGGTCTTGTGTGCAATTGGGCCGTAGGGGGCCCATTATACTAAATAAAAAACATTTGGATTTGGTTATGGGTTGTTACAATCTCCCCCACTTAATAGAATTCGTCCCCGAATTCTGCGTGTCAGAACTCCAACCTTATACCTCATACGGAGTGGCCATTGCGCATTACCTGCTTACAGTCAGCTTCCGAACTATTTTACCTTACCAACCATACAAAGTCTCTTATCTTCTTGTAACCCACCCCCTTTTTCTAACGTCGACATTCCTTGTGGTTCGCCAACCTCATTCGTACCCGGCTTATAGTTATGGCAAGGCGCACTCTCGTTGCCGACTTCGGTTTACCATCTAGGGAATTTCTACAGTCTCTTTTTCGTTTCACCTGTGGTGTCCTCGTAAAATGGAAACATCCAATGCAGTGTGCTGCCGGCTTGCCACTATGCTTCTGCTGCGCTATTCTGATTACCCTTGCTTCCCCTATGCCCATATGTAGTTTGGTTCGGGTGTTCAACCCTGCCAAGGTACCTCCCGGCTCAATCCGGCGGCAACCATGGAATCCTCTCTTCCCATCTCGGACTAACCCACTGGTTCCGTAGTCTTTGGATCTCCTTTCAACTTGACTTCCGGATATCCCCCACTTTCGATCGAACCCCCGCCTTGGCTCCACCTGGTCCCTCCTTCCAGTCTCATACTGGTACGCCCAGGTGTATCCTTCCATTGCGGTACATATATTTGCTATACTTCACCACCGTGGTTTACCTGTATTCTCGTGCATTCCTTAATCTGAGAATGCCCTCATATTCCTTAGGATCATTCCACCCTTTTACCCTCCAGGGGGGGGGGGGGTCTTCCACCTCACTCCCCTACTACCGCTTCCTAGCTCTCGACATCTCGGATTGCTCGAGGTACCCTTGTGAAACTCAACGCTCACCCCATTGCCTTCAAAAATTTAACTGGTGACTTACCCAATTCTTATTATGCTCGTGCTGATCGTGACAACCCCGTGCCCCATAGTCTTATGGCCTTTAGCTTATGCTTCTTTAACCTTCCCGTCCTACGACACCGTATCACCTTCGCGAGTCTCATATCTTAGGACACTTGTTGGTATACTTTTAGCCGGTTATGGGCTTCATTTGATTCCCCAGCCGAAATCTCCACTTACACAGCTCCCTGTACCAACTCCGGCCATAGTCTACTGCAGCGAACTCCTGCCTTAGCCTTCTCACGGTTGTCTCCCATCCCCATCTAGGTTCTTATAGCCTCTGAAACACTTTTCATTCAGATCCGATATGAGTACTTCCGGAGTGTAATTCTCGGCCCTAACATGTAAGTCGGTCTAGACTTCGATTTCTCACCCGTACCCACGTATCCTATTGGTCACGCAACACTCACTAATGACACCCAGGTCCATAGTACTTGTTCATGCTCTTCTTTAAACTCGACGGATGAATCCATAGGTAAATAAAAAATAATAAATAAATAATGGAGTAGGACTACAATAGTTGAGGAACTCAAGGCATCTGTACAATCACAGAGTGGCTATAAATAAGAAAAAACACCAACACCAGCAATAAATAAATAAAGTAGCAAAACAAGCGCGCGTCCCACTCCTACGAAGCGATCCTAAGAACTCAACCATCCATTGTGTGGGGAGGGAACACGATCGTCCTCGGATCCTAAACCATCCCCACCGCCACCTTTCGTCGCCGGCTCCGGTCTTCGTCGTCTTCGGTGGAACATTCACACTCAGTTCTTGCGTTCTTCCTTGCCCATACCTCCTCCGCATCTAGTGCCTGACCGGCTACCCTCTTTACTAATGCAAAATCCAGAGGCTCCAGAACACCAGCGAGCTCATTCCTAATGTCACTGTGGAGCCCCGCCTTGAATAGCCGGCACCACTCCTCGGCAGGCTTCGGTTGACACTTCTTTGCCGTCTCCATGAACTCAACCAAGTAATCCCTCACCTTGCGTGGCTTCTGCACCATCTGCACCAACACATCGCAGTCACAGTCATCAGTTACCTGGGTAAGTTTCCTCGGTCGCACTGTTTCTTCCTAGGGGGCTCCCCGTCTGTAGCCCCCACGTCACCGTCGTTCATCTCCAAGTCCTCTTCAGCGTCCTCCTTTTCAGTCCTCGCAACGGCGGCTAACTCAGCTGCAACCTACGCCTCTGCCTCGATTGCAAAGCCGGCCATCCGGGTCACTAGGGAAAACTCCAGGGGTTCCAAGATCCCTTTCAGCTGGTTTTTGAGATTCACTCGGAGTCTGTTCCTGTACCACTCGCACCACATTTATGCTGTCTTCGGTTTACACAGCTCGCTTGCCTGATGAAGTCTTCGGTGTACTCCACCACCGATCTGTCTCCCTGGGTAGTCCGGGACAACGTCTTACACTGACACTTCCCGGTGAACACTCTCAGAGGCTCCCCAATTGCACTCGGTGGCCTGCTCGGGCGGCCACGTCTCTTTGGTAGCTCCTCCTCTGGCAAAATCTGGAACGTCGCTTGACCTTGCCATATGCGCCTCTCCATTGCCATCCTCTGAAAGTGGGGCATCAACATCTTTCGTTTCAAAGTCTGCTCACGAGGGTATTCAAACGGGAATTCCCTGTACTGCTCCTCTGGTTCCGGGAACATGGGCAGCATTCCTGCATCTGGGTGCCACCTGCGGGCGTAATCTCGAGTAATCCTCGGTCCGTAGTGCAAACGCGGCTTTCTCCATTCATAATGATCCAATGGAAACATCCTGCGAGTAAAGATCCGATCAGAACCGTAGTAGAAACATAGGCACATTGGGTGGTTTTGAAATCATTTCACATTTTTGAAATACTCTAAAACTCTCTCAATCATAACACTTCTATTTCCAAACAAGACCGATTAAACTTTTGAAAACATTGAACTTAAAACTTTTGAAAACATTGAACTTCTGACCCCTTAGGATAACACTAAGTGATCTTAACCCCCGCTCAGATACCAATTGTAACAACCCGTTCCCCCGGCGCCCGACCGGGGTTCAGCAAACGGGTGCTACGGACACGTGTCTACTCAATTAGACAACCCTACGTGTCCTTACTGGCCCCAGGAGTCGGCAGACACATCTTTTAATGAAATTCGATCCACCCTTATCCACATACTTCTACATACAGTCCTGCGCATAGGAAGTAAAGATGGAGGGATGAGCAATTGGGATTACTCAGTGAAGTGACTTTAAACCAGCATGTCCGCATGATACTCTACGCTACCTCATACGGAGAACAAGACTGACTAGCCACTACAATCAATATGCGTCAAACAAGCCGTACAACAACATCTCAACATAGAATTCTAGCACCCTAACGTTCATACATTTGCCAGGACTCAGCCATCACTTCACATAGATTCAT